CATATAATATGAATCGAGGTACTCGCCTAAAGTATGTATAAAATATGAATTTATGTATATTATATATACTCATAATATAAATATATGAATTCGAAAAACCCTTTTGGCAGAAAAATACTCATCAATGAACATAAGCGAAACACGTATCGTCTGCCTTAACTATCGATAGCATTTAAACTCATACATTGAAAAAAAAATGCTAAACAGTAAACCTAACATATCTATACATCCTTTATACATTTTTCAAACACAATAATCAAACGAGCGATTCGATTTTCTTAAAAATATCAAAGTTTAATACATTTTCAACATTGTATGCGAATTTCACCTAAACAGTAAAATATTACTCATTTCAGTTTCTAGTAAAAATGCTTTGAACACACTTCCTTCATAATATATTTGTTTGTACCTTTTCCCTCGTCTCGTCGGTTCTTTCAATTAAAAAGTCTACCTACGGTTCAATGTTTTGAATTCATATTATATGTATAATATGTATGTTTCCGACAAACATTCGGCGTACAATGCCAACTTTCTTCTCTTCACTTTCCGCTTGGGTCCATATTAAAATAATATGTACGTACATACACAGACATGCTGTAAAATCCCTAGGGTAGAGTTTTTGGATCGTTGAACTGCCTCCTCTCGCTGTCCCTCAATCTACCACCATCGCCCACCCGTTGCCGTCGCTCCGATAAAAGACTTGCTCCCCCTAAGCAACCATGTGTAAGATCACCGCCGGCCTGTACGGCGAATTACCCCCGAGTCGGCTGTACAGTATAATACTCGCATGGGCTTTTATCAGTCATTCATAAGACCCACTAACGCGTAGACCATGCCAGTCGACAGACTTCTCTAGATCATGTACAAGGGTGACTGCGATTCGGACCAACATAATGCACTCCATAAGACATTCGTCGTGGCTTTATAAAACCGTAGTGTCTGGTTGAAAACGATTTGTTAATGCGGTGGTGAACGTTGTTTTATATAAATAAAATAAAATAAATATATATATATATATATTTTATATTAATAGAGTTGATTGACGCATACAATTTTAGAGTCAGAATATAATATAATAACTAATTACTAATAACATATTAATGGCGAGCGTTTAAAATAATAGTATAGTATAAATACATAATAAATAGAGTTATATAGGGTTGTCTAAACTATATTTAAACAACGAGTAGAGCGCATGAACAAAATATATTATTCTGTAACTGATTAACTCGAAAGTAAAGTTGGTATGTTTTATACGTAAAGTAACTGAAGTATCTTTGATGGTAGGTTGAATAGATAGCCGGTAAGGTCAAATCTTCAACTCTTCGAATAAACGTATTAAGAACGGTAAAACTAAAGAGTCCGTTATTAATATTTTTAATTGCTGCGTAGAGTACTTGTTGGTGCGTCACTTGTTAATCCGGAAAATTACTGTCGAGGTATAATCATTAAGAAAATGGGAAAATACTTACTAACGAACTCCTGCAAAACAGTTTAATGTTTTAATTAAGTAGTGTTGAATTTCATGGCGGCTACTATTCGTATATTAACTTCAGCTCGTCGTTTTTGAGATTATAATGTATTTGTAATTTGTTATATGCGCTACACTAGTAATAACTTTTTAACTTTTATTTATATCATACAGCATTTATATATAAAAAAAAAAGGAAACATACTCCCAGGTCTTTAAAAGGCTTAACGTCCAATTTTTACACAAAAAAAAAGTAAAGTATATATAGTAAAAGCGATAGCGAAAGAAATATGATATTATCTTTAACCCTTTTTTTGCTTGGAAGGGTAAAATCAATTTTCCGTGTGTGGTTATAATATTACACTTGAAGTGTGGATATAGATACTAGATGTAACATCTAGGCAGTGCTGGTAAAATTTGTGATTTTCTTTATTTCGAGCAAGTTAAAAAACATATTTAAACCGTTGCGTTGGTTTCAAACGAAATGCCATTTTTTATTTCGGTGGCAATTTTTTTTTTCCAAATCTGGAAATTCAGCGCGGAGTCGTTATGTTTTGCTCGACGAGGATAACGCGAAAAATAATCAGCGGGCTCCATGCCAACCATATGTATGTATAGTGTAGCACAAAACCAATTTTTTCGTGTGTCGTCCACCACCGCTGCCACGAGGATTAACAGCCACAGCAGTCGTCGCATTGCCGGCAGTTTCCTTTCAGAATTCTCGTCGAGAAAAATAATGTGCTCGTTAAAAAAATTTGCTCAGTGTTTTGTAATCAAATCGTCGGTATAGTGTTTGTTGTTTTTATTTTATTTTAACAAACTCCTTATTATTATTGTTGTTGTTAATATGAAAAAAAAACTGTTTGTCGGATCTGAAACATTATACTACTTACTGGGCCACCAACGTTATCATCATTACTCTCGCACCGTCGTGGTTTTCTGACAGAAAAATAAAACTCATTTTTTTTTTTATTACTGCTTTCAAAATTTCCGCGTTATAATATTTTATTCTTATCGTGTGCGTTTCCTATACCAGGTATATAAACTATAAGTGCGGTACTTAAAAAACACTTTACTCGGCGGGACAACGTTCGGTTCTTATATTTTTTATATATAACATACGGCTAGGGGAAAAATCAATACGAACCATTTAAAAAAATACACGGGTGGCTTGTTAAAGTGTTCAATTAGATAATATTATGTACACACAAATTATAATATCTTTGTGTTATTATAATGAGTGTATACGATGGTAGATTAGTAGTGATATGTAAATGGTAAGTGACAGTTTTTCTTTGTACGTTTTATTCTTGGCTTAGATTCTTAAGTTGTTTATTCCTTCAGTTTGAAAGACATATACTCAATTGAACGTTGACTGAATTGATCGAACCTATGTCTAAACTCATTTAGTGACACTGGAGTTACCACCGTCGGTTTTTTTGTGTGCATACAATTTTAATTGTAGACATGGATTGCTTCTCTCTCTCGTACTCGCCGTACTAATATTTTTTTTTTTATCTTCCAAGTCTAACAATTTTTCCTTTTATTTTCCTAACCAAATATATCTTCAGTAAAATATTTTCAACGACAGTTCCGGCAGTCGTGCTCCCTCGTTTTAATTCACCTCTTCTGGCGTAATTGCAATTTGTGGCACATCGTATCAAAAACGTGCCATTGACGCTCCAAAAACGCACTTTCCTCTGTAATTTCGAAAATGTTGTATATATACAAAAAAAAAAAACAAAAGCTATTGAGTAGAGTTGGCAAAAGTTTTAGTGGCGCTAATTGAAAATCCGTGTACGCAACGGAACGGCTCCGGAAAAGTTACCCGTAGTGTGTCCGGCGGATGTGTATAATGTATATAGTGCCGAGAGAAGAGAGCGTTCACTTCCTCAGCTCTCTGGTCTTTCCGACCCAAGTTAGATAGGTAGTCTTTTGCCTTTACCTGTGCCCTGTGCAGTGTCACAGTGTATGTGCGCGTGCACAGTCTTCTTTAATCAAGTGGATACGCCGCCAAATCCAATACGACCCGGAAACCACTATACTTACCCCCGACCCCTCGGCGCGGCGTTTGCCAAGTACAATTAAACGCACGCCGACCCCTTTGTGCGTATCTGCTGCGGATTTATTATAAGTGATTGTCTGACTTGAGGTTTAATTGAAGAAACCGCCGCCACAAATACGTGCGAGGTTACCCGAACAAACCGTATTTTTTTCCAACAGCTCTTAAACAATACCATATTTTTGTCACGCGGTTTATATGAAAATTCCTACTACGGAAAATGCTGACTACGTACATCGTTTTAAAAATGTACACGTTTTTACATTATTTACCTACTTATTTCACTACTTTAAAAATATCTTTGAACGTGTACCTACGTCACCGCACGTGTTTCCATAGTCCTGTCGTGATTTATTGTTGGCCGGTGTGTCATCTTTTGTCTTAATAACGTTTCTATCGGAAAACCATTCCAAGAACTACGCATAACATCGGTGTACACACATTTCGATAGAAACCAAAATCCTTTTTTTTTTTATTTACTTAATTGTGGATAAATCTATTTCGAAAATTACTGTTTTCGCTGAATGACGCAACCGCGTGGATTTCTTTTTTTTTTATGGTCATTATAGTGCCTGCGATGTTTGGTCTCCCGGCACATTATGGGCGGCCGAATAAGTAAAAATTAAAAATAAAAGCAAAAGTAATTGGACGATGATGTCACGAGGTTCTAGTTTTGTACACACACTATATTGACGTGGACCACTATTATTAGACCGCGGACGACCTTATAACACTGAGTGGAAGGACCACGTGAGCTTAGCGCCAACTCTTATGTGTATTGGGTTTCCACGCGTTCCCGAGCGAAATGTTTCGAATATATTATATTATTTTAACAGCCCAGTGGCTGATCTAGGGATAAAAAAAACGGGTGGGAGCTAGAAAAAACAAATCACTTCAAATACATAATATAAGCAATAGTCATAGAGTTATTAAAGCTTACTTAGTAAAAAAAAAATACATATTGTAACATATTATATTATAACAAAAAAATAAACATAAGAATACCTTTTTAGTGCATACAATTTAAGTACATAAGGGTGTATCCGCCACCCCGCGCCACTTGATTAACCGTTATTATATTTTTTAGAATAAGGAAATTTTCGTTGTTGTTTTACTTCTTCTTTTGCGCCGTCTCGTTTTATCACGTTGTTACTAATTGTTACCGTCGCCGCTGCTGCCGAGGTCCGCATTTTATTTTAATGAGCTTCGAGTTTGAGAAACACAAAAAAAAACAAAACAATATAAATTAATGAAAGAGACAACGCAACGACTACAACCCTTAGGAATTATACCGGACTTTATTTGCATTACTTGCGTGTTTAGTTGAGCAATAATAAATAATTTTTCCTCTTTTGTTAAACCGTTCACGTTTTATTTCGAGTACGCTCTAACAGCCCGTAGCTTTTTTAATAATGGCGTTCGGTTGTAAGTTTAGCGTTTCAAGAGTTGTTGTAATTTTGTTTTCAGGACGAAGACGACTACGAGTCGAGCAGCGGATCCCTACGGTCCGGTTCCGGTGACGCGGCCAGCTGTGACATAGGTCTTCTCGAACGGCTCATACGAAGTCATCCGATATGGTTCCTGCCGGGCATACAAAGGGCCGGTGCTTTTCACTTGCTACAAGGCAAAGACGACGGGGTAAGTGTAATACCCTCTATCCGTCTTTTCTTCTGTCTTCCTGTCTTTCCCTCTACATTCGTCTTCATAACAACTCTCGCTGTCTCTGCTTCGTCTCTCAACCTGTTCTCTCTCATATTTCCCACAATTGATGCAACTCCTCGACTCCCCCTTACGTATTGATTTCGTATTCTATCCACTCTAGTCACTCCACTCACACAGCGGTGTATATAATTTTTCTAATTTTTCAATAACCGTTGTGATCTAGAATTTTGTCGTGCGTCAATCCAGCCAGACTGGTACCATGGCTATTTCAGTCCGTCTACCCAGCGGCAAAGGTCCGTACATCGAACACTATCTCATACAAGCGACCTCGGACAACCGATTGGCCTTGGAGAGTTCGGATAACAAATTCGACAGCATCCCAATGCTAATCTCTCATTACGCTCAGTGCTGGTGAGAATTTATAACGCCCGGCCGTACCGATTCGGTGTATAGAATTCTAAATGTTCGTTTGGTTTTTCAGTGACGAGTTACCCGTACAGCTAATGTTACCAAAAGCCATACAAGAAGCCAAAAACCGGCAACAACTCTCGTCTCTGGCTTTACTCGGTCAAGGTGAGTTCGCAAAAATGCCGAGTTCTTTTAGCCACCTGTTTGTGTACTGTTCTCACTGTTTTTTTATTGTCATTAGAATTTTGGAGGTATCCTATGGCCAATACGGGATGTTCTCTGGCACTGGAGACGTCACCAAATGACGAACCCACTAAAAGAACATTAAACACATCCATTCCAAGTAGTGCTGCCAATAGTCAATCGAGTAGTCTCAGTAGTTTCAGCAGTGGTAATATAACAATCCCATATAAAAACGAAATGGTATTTTAACGACGTTGGTTGAATATTTACAGGCAATAATAACCAAGAATCTGGCTTCGTAGACAATCAGTTGTCCGTTGAAGAACTATCGACTAGTCCGGTAGAGAGTACACAACAGTCAAATGGGTTCTTAACGACTTTTAAAAACACCTTGAAAGACGGTACCCATTCCTCTTCCGATAACGTATCTTCAGTTATGACCGTCGGAAGCGGCAGAACTCGGCCGACCCCTCCCAACACGTTAAATCTCAAGACCTCCAACAATCCATCTATTGTGGATTGCATGGGTACTTCGCACGTGGCAAAAACGCCGCCGCCGCCTCCACCTCGCTGGGCAAAACCGGTGGCCGGTCAACAAAACTACACTGTAACGACCACTGTCACGTTAAGCCTACACAAAGAAACAACGCCGTCTCCGCTCATCCAAGTGTCGTGTGGGCAAATATCAAAATCCACCGACGACAGTGAAATCATGCCGGCAATCAAGAGTCCTCCCGGGTCCGACATATTGTCTCCGATCTCGGACACGGGCGGCGTGGTCCGTTGTCGCCGTACCAAACGAGACCGAATCAAACAGTCGAGACACTACCGGGAGAGCGACATACTGGAATCGCCAAACGTTTACCACAGAAGTGCTTTTGCCGACAAGGCCAGCGATTACGAAGACGTTTGGGGTCCCGATTCGACTTTGTCCACGTTTAAGACCCCGGCGTCGTCGGCTCACAGCAACAGCGGCACTTACAACAAGTCTACCCCGGAAGTACTTGCCGACATGCCACCCGACATTCTGGAACAGACCCCCGGCGGTGTTCAGAACACTGCAAGGAATACGTTAGCACTGGTTTTGCAAAACACTCAAGCGGCCGATCTCCCGTCAATCACCGACAGCACTACTAGCTTATTGTCGCCTGGCACGCCAGAAACGAAATCTCCTAGCCCCGAGGACGACCACCACGAAGCCAAGCAGGGCAGCCCGTTTTACGCAGAACCCGCCGACGCCATAAAACAAGTATTAATATTTAATATATTATTATGCGTTCACTACCAGTCAGCAGCTCATATAAACGATATCTAACGAACGTTTTTTTTTTTTTTTTTTCAGGCCGCCTTCATGAGGCGTAAATCAAAACCGTCGACGTCAAATTACCGAAACCGACATTCGGAACCCAGTTTGCTCCATCAGTGGCCGACGTTGGTCGGATGCAATCAATTGCCTCGCATAGACTCCAAACAGGAACTGATATCGCCCAGCGGTAACTACTCTACTAATCAGGCCTTCTCGTCGTCGGTGGACAACATACCGTTGTTGAGAAATTCCAAAAGGGATCCGCTGAAAACGGGTAAACCTGTGGAAACTCCACGGGTTGGCCCGCCGAAACGCGGCCAAGACGGCTCGTGGGCGGTAGATTCCAGTTGGGAATTCATAGGAAATGAAAACGAAAGCGCCGCCACCACTCCTTTGGACAACGGTCAACCGCCGGCTTGTGATCAGCTGACAAGTGACCGTGTAAACGAATCCGCCGGCCGCAAAGGTCCGACGATACAGGACATCATTTTACAAAGGTATTTTGCTGGCATTTTAGAAATGTGTTTTCTGACGGTCCACGGTCGTGGTTACTAACACAGTGTACTCACCGAACAGGTTACCTCATCTAAGCCTGTATGTGAAAGAATCGAGTCCCGCGGCTCGTACCAGTGACAACACTCAATCATCGCAAAACAGTCTCAACAATAATTCCTCCACTGACAACATAAACAACAACTCGTTGAACCTAAGCTGTTTTAGCAACCTGTCTCTGATGTCTCAAAACAGCGACGACGATGCAAGAGTGAGTAATGAGTATGCTATAAAAAATAATTTGAAAAAAAAACCAATCGAGGTTGTGTGTTCATTTTTTATTAAACTATTGTGTTCATAATTTGTTTTAGACCGAGTTCTCCGAACCATGGGACAGCTCCAAATGGGAACATTTGCTACCCGTCTCTAATAAAGGCCACGGCGCCAACAACAATGTGAAACAATTGGTTAATCGCAACAAGAGTTTTTCGGAACGTTTGGATCCACTTTTAGGTAAGAAATAGCTGATATTAACCGTATGGTGTTGTGACGATTTTTGTTACAAAAAACCATAAATAGTCTGTGAATTTTATCGACGTTGTCAGTTGCCCATTTCGCTGTACCGAAATTCAACAGGATTTTTTAATAGGTTAATTTAATTGCAATACATTATTGTTTTTTCACAAGTTGTTTATAACAGTTAAGATTGGAAACATTTTCCCACAAACAAACTGATACAGAGCGCACGTGTGTCATGCGATCTACAAAACTTCTTGGCTGTATTTCAATTCTACCGCAAACCGTTTTTATTACCCAGTCATAAACTCCGATCAATCGTCTACCAGACACGTCGTGTCCCATCCAATAATGCTCATTCCAAATTCGTCTCGTCACATGTTTTTCATGATAATATATTTTTATTTTCCTCGCAATTAATTGTTCCGTTAGCAAATAATTAACAATAACATTATCGTGTGTTTAAATTTAACAATCCCGATTTCTTATTACTCACTCTGTGTTATTAGTTTTTAAGTGGCTAACGAAAATAGCTTTACTAGAAAATACCATACTCGCAGACGGAATGCTGATATGTAGTAGGGACAACTAAAGTGTTCCGACTATTACGAAAAATCGGTCAAACTAATTATTTTGTTGAAATTATTAGTCGAATAATCTAACTATTGTCAAAAGAATTTCGCGTTAACAGCTAAAACTGCGCTCAGAAAACAAAAATGCAAAACGCGCGCTGCTTTAACTGATTGTGTACTATTCCGGATACCCTAAATTACACTGATGGTAGACCTAGAGTAGAGTTATAATATACAACTTTCTCAAAAAGTTGTATATTATAACTCAGTTGTCATACTATTTGTTTTACATTAAAGAAAAACCACAAAAAAAAAGTCACATTCGCGGCGTATTAAATTTACAGGTCGCTTGTATGAATGAATCAACAGGTATCTGAAAAATATTCTCATTATCAATCATCACTGTCATTCGTTGACGACCATCTCTAACTGTATCCACCCTATTACTAAAAATACAATTTTAAACATATATTTGATTTACAATGTTTTTTCTCATTGCACATTTTCCCGGGCCGGTCTTATGGAGCCAGTCCGCCCTGGTTTCTATAGTACAACAGTTTGTGTACAATGTTTATACGCTTTTTTGTTACTACGATATAATCTGGTTTCCAGCTGTATTTAAAAATAACGTCAACAAACTAAGTTTTTACAGCATAAAACATGAGACTATAAAAATGTACAACCAAAGTTTGCACTTTTGTCAAAATAACCCTAGTTTGCCATAATTGTTAAAATAAACTGTTGTTTAAGTTTTGGTTTCTAGTTATATTCAAAGGCAATTATATCAACTGCCACAGCTAAGAAAGCCGACAAATTTAATTTTTGCTATTTTTAAGGAGAGCAAAAACAAAATTCCAATTTTGATTACTTTGTTCTTTAATAATATTTTTCTGGATTTGACTCAATGCGAATCATATTAATATTAGATGATTTGGCGATAATATTAAATGTTATTAACTGGTGGTGGTTTATATTATCCTTTAGCAGCCCCCCGGATCCAAGCACTAGCGCGAAGCCGTTTGATGGCCCAAACTGGTACCGGTTCATCGACTAGAGAATATGCCTTACAATTGGCAGCCGACAAGACAACAGTGTTTGCTCAGTCCATTGACAACTTTGTGTGTTGTACAGTCGAATCGAAAGAAACCACTCCGACAGTAGTCATGAGAAACGTTCGGCAATTTATGTCTGGCATGAAAAACTACCTACTGAAACACGGAGAAAAAGAGTTTCAAAAAGTGGTCGAAAAAGAAAGGAGTCAGGTAAAATTTTGTCATAGTTTCTTTTGCCGGTCTTCCGTTTTATTAATTGTTTATTAATTTATATTTTACAGTTGAAACCTACAGAATTTCTGAATCTCGACGTTATCTTAGAGGGTGTAATGAACCGACTGGTGTTGAAAGAACTTCGGGAACACATTTACAGTCTACTAGTTGACGAGTATGTTAACAACGGTTCCATACCGTCGATGGTGGAGAATATTCACTACGCCAAATCGAAAACCCTTCAGGATTTTGCAGTTCGAGTGAGTGGATCAACAACATCATTTTGTCTGAGTGGCCACTCTTCAAACCTATATTATAATAATTATTTAAAAAAAAAAATGTAATAATAATTTCAGGAGAATTTGAATCCACCCAATGAGAACGACCTACAGAAAATCTCGGAATGCTTCAAGCGCTTACAGCAAGCGTTTTTGCCCTTGGAAAAACTCGAACATCTTTTATCAGCCATGGCTCTCATTTTCAATGCTGTAAGTCTGTTACTTGTTCAGGAATTCAGCAAAATTGTTTATTAACATTTTTTTCAGGTAAAGGTGCAGAACCGAAACGCCAACTCTTGCCTGGGCGCCGATGATTTCCTTCCGCTTTTGGTGTGGGTGTTGGTCCAATGCAATGTATTGACGGCCGAATTGGAAGCAGAATACATGTGGGGATTGTTGCACCCGTCACTGATACCCGGAGAGGGTGGATATTACTTGACGGCCTTATGCGGAGCCGTTCACGTGTTAAAGAGCTACAAGTCGTCAATGGAAGCCGGCACGGCCAATGGTATGAAGACACTCGGTTCCGATAACACAGTGAGTACGATGTCTTGTTTGAACTTTACCTGACTATGACAGAACACTCATCACTCATAATGTATCACGCATTTGTCTTTCAGTTGAGTTACGACCCACTGAGTGAACTCAAGTCTGTGCTCAAAGTGGTTGTGCCGGACGAGACCAACGGTTCTCTTCTCACCAAAACATTACCCGTCAGGCCGCACATGACTACACGCGATGTATGCAAAATCATTGCGCACAAACTCCGTATAACAAATCCACAGGACTATTCTCTATTCAAACTAGTCAACGGACAAGGTACTTATATTCATAATATAATCAATACGATAAATAACCAATCGTAGTATTAACTGGTTACCGATTATTCCAAAATGGCATACTTACACATTTGATTGTATACAAAATATTTAATTATCCTTTACTTAACACACACATTATTTACAATGACCCTTTTTAAGAGGTTATCAGATGAAAAAAATATTTCATTACGTGAAGCCATTGCATAAATTGTTTGTCAACAGCGAAAATAGCTGTAAATTGGTTATAAAGTTTATTGAAATTGTGTATGCATAGTAAGCGACAAATCATATAATAAACCAATGGTACAATAAGCAATGACACTTATCAGTTAAAAATTCACTTTAGTCGTCATACAAAAATATTAACACGCTTAAGTTATTCAATAAAAGTGTTACAGCTTCATGTGATCAAACTAACAAAACTATAAAAAAAAGTCCACTTATTTTTAATTATTCTGTACTATAAATATGATTTTTTACTTATATTACTTGTTTTTTTCTTATAGAGTTTTTACTTTTGGAAACCGATTGTCCGCAAGACATTAAGAGTACGACGACAGCGAGCGGCAACCACTGTTTGTTCGCATACAAACGTATCGACGCCAAAATAGCTTGGCCTCATTCGCCTTCTTCCTGAAGAATATTATTGAAAGTAGCTTTAAAGTATTTTTAAATAACCAGTTTTTTCTCATTTATGTTTTCTTCGTCTATTTTTATTAAGGATGTATTTTAATGCTATAATTGTGGAACAATATTTTAATTTAAGATTAAATCCCTAACCCATTGTGAACAAAAATCTTGCGTCGACTTTATTATCCTAAAAGCTAGTCATAAAATTAGTGCATAAGTCTACATAATTTCTTAAAATGTATGTAAATAATGTAGTGTGAATTCAAAATAACACACATTATTATGATTATATACATAAAATATTAATATATATATATTTGTATTTTATTTTATTTTTTGGACGTCATATATTTTGTTTTTCATACTGTGTCTAAAAAGAGATTTTTTAAAGTAATTTTTAAATATTTATAATTTTTTTTTTTAAGAAATTTTATTATTATGTTTTTATAACTTAATTGTTTCAAATGAAATCATGAAACAGTTGGGCCAGTGACTGATAAGCCCAACTATGGTACTTGAACATAATTATTTTGTTTTTATTAAATATTGCATTAATCATAGTTGAAAAGACTCTCGTATCGTACTTTTAATTTTGTTTTTGTACTTTAACTAGCAGCGTCTAAAATATATTTTTTATTCTAAAAAAAAGTACTATGCTTTTTTTTTTGCTCAACAACATACCTTAAGAGAAAACTGTCATACCCGGTCAAGTAATATTTACAGTCCCCTTAGATCTTGAATTTTTTAGAGATTAATTTTTTAGTTAGTTACCAAAAATTAGAAAAATGTACAGTGTAGTAGCTGTATGAGACATCATTGATTTAACCGCACCATTGATTTTTTTATCGTCAAAATGTTATTATGTGACTCGTTTTGGTTGTTCAATAATTACATAGAAAAAGAACATGTTTGTAACCTTGTTGTTTAAATTTTAGTAATTACTTCAACTTTAAATTCTATAAGTTAAAACAATTATTTACCGTAAACACGCAGGTTTAGAGGCCTCTTAATTAAATGATTTAAGTGTTGTTACCTACTTGGTTGCTTTTGTGCATGAAAATGGTATGTTAAGTCCACAACATTTGGTATAATATGAAAAATATTTTTTCACTTGTCCTTACTGCACTATTTGCCACTTTGTCCAGTTTTTTTCTCGAAATTTGTTTTCTAAAAACAACCACTGCCATTATGGGTTAAATAGTTTTTGCTGGACTTAAATAAATATCTTTAAATTAAAAAAATAAAAATAAATATGAAGAACCTAACAGACTAGTGGTTAAAAAGTTATCGCAATAACACAAAAATAAAAAAAGAATATATTTTTAAATTTTAATGGTTAATGGTTCTCATTTTAAAACCAATATTTTTTTACCTCCAGAACGAAGCTTAAATGTTTTTAAGTCAATATTTAGAATAATTGTTATTTTATGTTTTTATCATTTTCTTTTCAATTACATTAAAGAATAGTTGCCTATTAATATTATACGTCTTCTTAGTTAAAGATCTTTGTGATAATTAACTGTATTTTCTAATTGCAACTTGCCACGAGACAAGATGAGGGATGCTCCACGCAAGAAGAACCGCCGTCACAGTTAGCTATACAGAGAGATAATGAATGTATACATTTTTCATTATATTTTTATTTCTTTATAATTAATGTAGGACAGGTGCGAACGAATCGCAAAGGCAAAGACAAAGGTTCATTGTGCGGAATAGGTAAATCGACGACTTACAACCACACGTTAGACACATACACAACTTGTATCGAATGCTTTTCTTCATCAGATCAACCATAAATTCGTCAAGTATAAAATAAATGTTACATAATATTAACCTTTAAAAATATCTGTAGTGTCAACAGTGATTATACCAAAAACCCCATCGAGAGAAATTTTGTATTTTAAATTAAAAAACAATGCCTTTACTTAGGGTATTGGAATCTTTGGATATCTTTATTGGAAGTATTATAGTTGGATATTTCTTATTTTAGACATTTCTAACTGTACTACATATTTTGGTATGTAGTTGCGGTACACTCTGAAAGATGGCGTTGGTAATAGCATCTGACATAAATAAAAAAAAATATCTCTATTCATTGTGTGATAGGGTAGCAACACTGAACACGGTCGTAACTATGTTTGTTTAAGCTTAAAAAATCCCACTACTTATATTGTTTGCATCTAGTCATTTTTATACCGTCGGTTATTAATAATAAAAATTAACATCATATGATATGTAATGACTTACGTATTATAATTTAGGTATATTCATTTTGGTAAATTGCTTTTGCAAGAAACGATAATATCTAGGTAACATATAAATCTAGGTTACATTGATAACAGCTAAAACGAATAGAAGCATGCAGGTAAAATCAAAGATTTTTCACTGTCAAAAACTCTAGTTTACAACCAATATACAAAATATGTTCAATGATAGTTACATAACCGGGCTGGGGGTGTAATTTTTTTTTGTTATGGTTTATGATACCAGATACTATGTAATTGTGTTGTTATGGCAACTGAAAATATTGAATATTATATAGGTAAACGAATTAAAAAAATACAATATTTAATTCCTAAAGTTTCCATTACCGTTAAATGGTACAAAAATCCACTCGGAGACAACTGGCCCATTAGCTCAGTTGGTTAGAGCGTCGTGCTAATAACGCGAAGGTCGTGGGTTCGATCCCCCCATGGGCCAAATATTTTTTTGTTTTATTTTTCGGCTATTTATTGTTTTTTGATATTATTATGGTTTCAATTAATTATTTTCTTTATATTTTAAAACGCATTTATTTTTTAAATAATAATAAATCGATTTGGTTTCGATCATTTTAAGTGGGCCAAGTCATCAAAGGATTTGCGACGAACAATGCAATGCGCTGTGGTTTTTTATTTTGTTTTTGTATAAATAAATGTTTGTAGGTATAGGCCGGATCTTGGCTCTGCAACATCCGGCACTGCTCAGAAGTGAACGTATTTAATTTTACTTATTTATCAATAGCCTTATTTTATCAACTATTATAATTTGCCGCGAATATTTCATAAATAAAATAAATAATCTTAAATATAAACCCGTTTATAACTTAATGTAACTGATAAAAAGTACATTCAATTAAATAAAGAATGTCGTTTAGTTAAAAATATATATATTTTTTTTTGTTTAAATGTCTATTTTATATAGAATATTTACATCTATACAAAATATATGCTCAACAGTAAAAGGGTAAACAGTAAAAAAAAAATTAATAATATAGCTTGAATAACATGCAGTAGGGAAGCACTCAATGGAGCTACCTACTTTGAATTTTGAGTTAGTTTATCTAATATTTCTTTTTTGTTAGTTAAAAATATAGTCGTATAAAAATAAAATATATATTAAAACTATTGTATTGTGAATAATATTTATAAAATATATGTGTATTAAAACTAAAAAGCCAATAAAAATCGATGGCCCATGGGGGGATCGAACCCACGACCTTCGCGTTATTAGCACGACGCTCTAACCAACTGAGCTAATGGGCCAGAGTGCCTCTCGCTATGATTTTTTATACAAATAATCTTGAAACATATTATTAGCGGTAAAATATACAGCTATGTACAAGTTTCAAAAAGATTAGGCATATTAATTGTCATTAGAGTAATTACCTGCGTCAATCATGCTAATAATTATAAAATAAGAACTTTATGGACATTTCCTTTGTGTTATAAATTATAATATAGGTAGTACTTTTTGCTATGACGTTTTATACAATCAATGACAAACCCCCTTTTGCGACCTAACCTAACCTGTTTCGATTGTATAGGTGTTATTTTTAAGTGATCAAAATCGCATACAGACTCCAGAGCAAACTGGAAATTATAGTTTCAATGTGTTCATATGAGTTATGGGTGTTTTTTTAAAATAGTTTTTCCGATTTATTAAAAAAAATGTATATTCAAAATTATCAAACAAAAATATATTGAAAGTGCATAACATATCTAAAGGCCCGTATGTTTGTGTGGGCTTCAAAATGTCTTATATAATATGTGATAATATTATCTAGTAACACCATACTTTTTTACCGCTGGAGTGCACTACATATTTGATCTGTCATTAAAATACCGAATTATAACATTTTATTTTATAATTTTCTATTCTTTTTGCTTTCTAGCATAATATAGATGGATGTACTCGAAATTGTTATTATTAGAATAATTTAATTAAGCTAATATTTTATACCTTTTCCTACAAACTGTCAGGTTTTTCAACTTTATATAATACACGAGTCACGAGTCACCTGTCACGGCACACTTAAACATCCCGAAAAAAAGCCTCAGTATAGTAGTAGTCATTTTTGGAGAGTTCGTTATAGTATATATACTAGAATTAAGTCAGTATTTTATTTAGCTTTTTAGTTTTTTAAATACGATGATGTATAATAATATAAATGTCGTGATTTTATTAACTGTAGTGTTTACTAATATTGTCATGACCAATCTTGTTCATTAGAGATACTGTATGACTTATGAGATACATTATGTATTACAATAATGGCTGTTGATTATTTTATATATTTGTTTAATATTTGGATGTACCTATATGTATTACTATTTTTGTATTAAAATGTATGTTAAGTACCGATTTAATTTGTACAAAAACATTTAAACATTGCTTAAACGAATAATATACGAAATATCAACGTTATTTACACCAATGTTTTTATACTAATATTTCACCAAATGTCACCCATTTATACACTAATTTTATACCGTACAATTGTTGTTAGCTAAATAGGTTAAACACTTTACTTTTATTGCGTAGATCGCAATAAAGCTCTTTGAAACTTAAATAGTAATTTATATGTTGACTTAACTTTAAATTAAGTATAATTTTCTAAAACTTTTGAGTGGTCGAAAACCAATCTAGAGTATTTACATTTTGAGTTTCTAATGTTTAAAATTTAGAATATTTAATATTTTGAATATTAAATATGATTTCGTATCCATGACATAGCAGAAGATATTAAAATAGAAACAAAATTCATACAAACCAGATTAAAAAAAATAATATTCTAGTATTTAAAGATTGCAGTCGTTTAATTTATAGTGGTGCACCTCGTGATTGCACCACTCCCAATTACAATTGTACAAGTGATACTTAATTACTAGTTTTAAATAGGGCAATTTTAGTTCAAGTCTTATATTTATTGTGATCAAACCATAAAATTATAAAAAAAAGTAATATTATTAAAAAACAATATAAACAAGTTAAGTACAACAAAATTAGAACATGATTAAAGAGGTATAAACACAAAATAAACAAGATAAATAACAACATTTACAGAACAATATAAGCAAAATAGAACATAAAAATAGAACATGAAAGGGGTATAAACAAGCAAATTAAACAAGATAAATAACAACATTTATAGAACAGTATAAGCAAAATAGTACATGAAATAGAACATACAAATGGAACATAAAAGGGTATAAACAAGTTAAATAGCACAACATTCAAATAACAAAACAAGAAAAATAGTACGAATAAGTAAGCAAAACATGGTCATGATCAATATCAAATTGTACATTCTTGTACAGAGAAATCTGTTGGCGTCAGATTTGCGCAGCTGTTATGACGTGCTGAGGATAATGTTTCGATCAAAGAAAAAGCTTTATAATATGAAGTTGATATCATAGGTCGGCTGTGTTACAACAAAAATAGGTTAGAACTCAAAAAAACACATAACTAACAAACTCGGTGTCTTACGGTAATGACTTATGTGCGACCGTGCGTCCCTCTGCAGTTGATACTCTGCGGCGATTTCCAACACTCTCTCGTACGATGGGGGCGGCTTAGGTTTGCGCTTCTGTTTTATTTTCTCCATGACGGCTCGTATGCCACCGTCTCCTTCTTTTTCCTTCCTCGTCCGTCTCACCAGAGGAACAGTCTGACTAAGAGTTTTGGACGCTGCAGTACGCTAGAAATGTACACAATTAATTAACAACAAAATATAATAATTATCTACCTTTAAGCTATAGGTTTGGAATTGGATTCATTTACCTTGGTCCTTTTAACGGACTTGCGACGGCGGCGCTTGGCGGGAGCGACCGATTTTTTTCTCCTAGTCGAAGTTTTTCCACGACGAACGATACTTCCGGGCTCAATACTTCCGACATTGTCTTCAGAAGTCGTTTCTAAAACCGTAGGATAAAAATATTAAAAAAACCCTCTCACCAAGACCCTTAAAACGTGTCTGTCTACTTCACCTGCAATCAACTCACCGGACACCTCTTCGCCATCCTCTGCAACCGGCTCACTAGACGCCTCTTCGCCGTTCACTGCACCCGATACGTCTTGACTCGTCGACGGCTTTGTGTACGAACAAAAATAATTAATAACAAACAGTATTGTGATTTGTTTGTTTAAATATAGACGGTTACTTGGTGCACAACTTCTTCCACGATGTCCTCTCCTTGATCACCCTTGCTCGTCTTGAACATCTTCAACCGTTTCACCGGACGACCCGGATAGCTGACGGTAGCATAAGGCCATTCGGAGCTCTAGAGATGTGCAAAATGAAAGATATTAAGCAAGCTAGTGATTAATCCACATTAAGACACCGAGCCGGGATTAGATTCAATTACGTCAAGCAGTTCATCATCATAACCAGACCCACGGCGGCGTTTGGTACGGAACTTTTGTGATGTAGTCGAAGTTTCACCGACAATAATTATTTCCTCGATGCCTTCTTCCCATTCTGCTTCAGAAGAACTCTGCTCGAAATGATCCATTGTTATATTTTTTTATACAAGTTTAAGAGAAAATAATAAAGTACAATATAGTTTATACGTATTAAAAGAAAAATAATAATTATTAGAACTAGTTGGTTACGAAAATAAACAAGGTGATGACCGATGTCTATGACAACAAACATTTTTTACCCAATGCCAACCTATGCAGTTTTGTTAATTGGGACTCTCGAAAATGTATTATTTTTATATGTTTGTGTTTAAGACAGTTTTATATCGACGGAATCCCATACATATATTGTGGCCAGGTACAACGTACATTTTACCTTAACATCTAGGCGTTAAGTATGTTTTATTGCGAATATTACAAATTCCACAGTATGCATTTTTAATCAGTGTTGTAACGACAGGGACACGTGCGCCGTCTTTCAAAAACGATTTTACTAATAAAATAATAGTAATATATTATATTTTTTAAAGAAAGAATGACCAGTCAATAGAGTTATAGTGAGCAAGGTAATTAATAATATTAGGTGTCCCACAAATACATTTTTGGTTAAGCCTGTCGTTTTTAATAATATGTTTTACTGTCAACTCTTTGACCATAATACCTCTGTAGGTACCTTTTTGATTGTCTGCATTCAGTAGATCTTACACAGTTTTCGCATACAATTATATGCGATATAAACTTTTTCTTGACTCGAGTTTAAGGTTTTGTGTGGTTTTGTACAGACTCATAGTTATAGATATTAACATAATGTTGTTTATGCACTGTACACGTTGTGAAAAAGATATTTATCGTCTGTTACTGTAATAACTCACGTTAACCAAGTATTATAAACGAAATTAAACTAAAATAAAATGTAAATTGTTTATTATTGTAATATTGTAAAATAACATAAACTTAAGTTTCTTCAAAAAGAAAAACTACAAAATTTAAATTAATGTCTTATCCTTAATAAATCACCGTATATTATTTAAAATAATCAATATTGTCATAAAATAATTGTCGTTTGTAATTTAAACACAATGTGTGTCTAATGTCTTTATGAACTAATTATGCTAAAATGTAAAAAAAAGCAAAATTTAGCTGGCCCATGGGGGGATCGAACCCACGACCTTCGCGTTATTAGCACGACGCTCTAACCAACTGAGCTAATGGGCCACATGAAGAAATTATGATTTCTAACAGTTTTAGAAAATATCAGGTGAAATTGTTTTTTTTAATTGAAATATTATTAAAAATATTGCTTATAAAGGCAATCAAGTATGGTGAAAAATATATCATATAATATCTGGCCAATAATAAGGAAGAAAAAGAGCTAAAAATAATAGTTGTAAATAGACACTAATAGGAAAATAATTGCCATGTGTAATTGTATTTAATACCTACACGTTTGTTGTAATAAATAATAATAATTTAACTTATTACTTAATGCTTGAATATAAAAGTTAATAGAAGTTAGAAACCGTTACTATTTTATAACTAAAATAATTATGAGCTATCCTTTTAAAGTATTTGTATTATATTATTATACTTTACACAACAATTTTTAAACTATCTTTCATAATAATATAATATAATTATTTTCTCTTTGCATAATATGATTTCGGTATAACCTATCTATAGTTATCTTGGTCAATGGTAACTGTTACTTTTGCAAATTATTAAAGGTCAGTTAAATGATAAGTACAGAAACGTAGGTACTCAAATAATATTATTTTAAACATTTTTATTGTATTGTTTTTATTATAAATGATTATGATATAATATATTTACTATAATTGTTCTTACTAATCATATACACATACATCATACACTATAATATTATATTAATTATTTGAATACATGAATCCATAATGGCGAATATATCACATTATTTCGCTCAACACTTGGCATATTTACCAAAATATGTATTCGCAATTGATAAGTGATAGTTCAAATTTATCTAGGTTAGTTAGGATAGTTGTGTATTACTGATAATTCCATAAAAAATATATTAATTATTACAATTATAAAAACGTGTTCGTATATATTTAACACAGTATTAGTAAAAAAAATTAATATGTATAATTATATAATTTATAATAATCTACATACAATTAGAAAACAAGCAAGTTTCATATTACCAATTAAGGCTGTTATAAATATTAATTGATGTATATTTATTGAATGTAGAATTAATTAATTATTAAGCACTGTGTAAACAGTGAACTATAGTAAAAAAATAAGTACAATTTATAACATTAATGTACAAATAATAAAATATACATTCGGTGGTCTTTGTTTAGTTTGTGTTATCTGGCCGTTCTAATGATTTCCCGCTAGAATGTCTAATCTATTAATTCTTACTTATTTAATATGTCGTACATTAGCTAGTTAAAGTTAATAATTACATCTAACACTTATTACCTATCATTCGAGTGAAGTCGACCAAACGTGTTTATTGTAGAAGTGAAACCGGTCAGAGGCCATTTGGCGGTTAAAAATCTTTAATTTACTACATTATTCGGATGATTGCTAGCCCCAATAGGCAAAGCACGTTCGTTTTTCGTACAAAGGCATATTATTTAAGTCTTGCGTTGTGGCCGATACATTACGCCGTTTCGATGATTAACTGAGACGTATTATATCCGCCGGTACGAAATGAATATTTATAATAGTATTATGCCTATGTTTTTATCATAATATTACGTACACTGTGAATAAATTTCGCATTCGCGTTGAAAATCCCTATAATAACGTTTTAACTCACAAATATATTTATTATATATATAGGTATGTTTTTGAGCTTTTGTCTCGTCGTTGTTATTGGTCGTAAAATAAATTATCGGGGCTTAGTTATTTTTTCGTTCAGGGGGCCTCGAGATTATGGTAATAATGTATATTTCTACTGGATTTTATTATTTGTACTAAAAAAAAAATACCGGGCAAAATTTGTATGTCCGTCGGTTTCCGGCAATCGTGTTAAAAAAATAAAAAACACTCTAATGGTGGTAATTTGTCGTAGGTTTTTTTTAGTAGAAATCGTCGCCTCCGCCATAGTTTTCGCCGTATTTCTTGTTGTCCGAAACGGTGTCGTATTCGGCCTTGTGGTCTTGGTGCGACTTGTGGCCGGATTCGCCGCTGTGGCCCTTGTGCCCGTCGTAGTAGCCGCCCTTGTTGAACGTGCCCGACACGCCCTTGTGAGCCTCGTCGTAGCCCGCCTGGTGGTGGCCGCCCTTCTTGTGGCCGCCGTCCCGGTGCGTGAAGTCCTTGTGCTTGCCGCCGTACTTGTCGTGTTTGCCGTGTTTGTGCGCGTCCTCGTAGAAGTTCTGCTCCTTGTTGTACTCGTCCTTGTGGTACACGTTGTGGAAACCCGTCGTCTTCTGGCCCATCTTGTGCGTCTCGGTCTCGCCGAACTTGTGGCCCACCACGCCGTGCGTGCCGCTGTGGTGCTTGCCGTAGTGGTCGGCCACGTCCGAGTGGCCCGCGCTGTGCCCGGTCGCCTTGTTGAAGTGGCCCTTCAGGTCGTCGTGGCCGTACTTGCCCGCGTGGCCCTTGTCGTAATCGCGATGGCTCTTAAAACCGCTGTCGCCCTGATTGCCTTCCGAGAAGTAATGGCCCGCCTTCTGGAACGATCCGCCCGATTTCGAGTGTTTGCCCGGCGACTTGTACTCGTTGTGCGTGTACGGCGACCCGTAGTAGCCCTGCAACGTTGAAATATTTTTTTATAATTTATGTTTAACTTGTTATAACTATTGTGAGTACATTACACATAACTGTTTTTATCGAGGTCAAAATAATATATAACATACGTATATTCGAATGTTTAGTAAACCTAAATGAAGTACATTCAGTTCATAAATAAAAAAAAACAAATGTTACAGTTCTTAAAAGCGTAACGCTAGAGGTTTGTGCACAATATACGCTTTATGAACGACTTGAACTTTTCCCATTCAATAACCATTAATAAACTAATTAAGGAATTGATTTAAGAATAAGATAACGTTTCAAGACTTTAAGGGGAATATTATTGAATTTTTTTATATCTTATTCGCAGCATATATAAACAACTTTATTAACAAAATAATATAAAGTGAGCTGCCCAATAATTCGGGTTGCCAATACAACACAGCATAATAATCAATCAAATGACATACGTTTTTAAGACAAGAAAAAAATAAGTACATAATAGTAATAAAACAATTAAAAATACGCATTTTGTGTTGTCTTTTTAAATCGGCGAGCTATTTCTTGTTGCACAAGGCACATTACTCAGAAATAATTACTAATTACTATTAACCGAGACAACTAATTATTTGAGCTGAAGAGATTTATTTACTCGGGTTTAAGTTTAATTTGACATGTTTCACTTTGTTATACATACCACAACTTTATTAGTACATCCTAGTTAATAGTTTCTTATTTTTTCGACTTTGATAATCCCACAAATACTAACAATTGCGTTTAAGGTCTTTAATAAAAAAAAGGAAAATGCCGAGTTCGTCTATTTCATTTTGTTTCTCTCTATTCTTGATATCCTCTCATCTCGCCCAATGACTACTAACCATTGTGAGTTGTGACAAGAATCAGACGCGATGCCTAATTTAGAATGGATCGTCTCGTTATAACCCGTCCAGTTCATCTTGACACTTTGTGTCGTCACACGTCTGAACAGATTAGGGGTTCAAAACTTATGGTCGGACGTCAGTGTTACCAGTATAAGAGAAATATGAAACCACGGTCTACTGACGGTTTAGTGATATTGACTAACGTTGACATTGTTAATCAAACATCAATAGTATTTGTTTAATTTTTTTTTTTTTTTATTAAAACTGTATTACTCAATAGTCAATACAGCTACTGAAAGAAATATTTTGGCAGCGCCTCTTTACTAATACTTCTTTGCTGAACCCTACAACTTTTAAACCATAACAGCCGCCGCAGGACCTGGTGACAAGACGAAGTGGACGTTTTATTAAAACAAATAGAGATAACCTACTTGAATTTACAGCGACGCGTCCAACTCTTATAATATAAGTATTCAATATTCATGGATAATAAAAAAATGTACAGGCCGTGTCTATATTAGCAAAATAAGGGGTCGCACGCCGGAATGGGAAAGAGAGAAAGAGAGTTAATATTCCATAGAAGTATGTATGTCTCTTTCTGGTAAGGGGTTATCTATAGGTATATTCTCAGGCGATAAGCTTGATGGCATCCATTGTTTTATTATCTATAAATACAATAGTGAGCTTTATAATATGTTTCGCGCTTGTAACCGCGTACGTTTTTAATATATATTATGTATTTAGGTATAGACGATATGAGGTAGGCTACTTGAGGTGGGTGTTTTTTTTTTTTATACGAGACCATGATGAAAAATAGTCGACGTTCATAAATCACGGGCGTTTCGTTCTGTCGTTTCTTTAGGTAAACTTATTTCCCGAAGACGACCGGACGAGAAACAAATGGCGTAAAAATGTAAAAGCGTTAAAATATGTACAATGCTTTGGAAATAATAATAAATATATGCGTGCACGGTTGGGGAGATATAGCAGAAGTCGTAAATCATAAAAACGACGAGTGTACCCGCGTATTATATGCCAAATGGTCTCTCTAGTCGCATTCCCAGTGCCCGGGGAAGACGCACCGAGTGAAAATGTCTTGTTTCTATTTTCCACCGAGTGCAACATGCCGATAAGTAAATTATTTCAATAGAACCGCCTCATGAAATTATTTCACCGCCTTAAAAATAATAAAAATACACTTAAATCGCCATTGTCCGCGTTTAATATAATGTTAGTGTCTACCTGATTGATTTAAAAAGCCCTCTCCTGTTTATTGGGGAGGCGATATTATTATTATTTTTTGAAATACTTTAATTCATACGGTGAACACTATTATTATATTATACATTGAAATTGACACTTTGTCTCGTCGGACACTTCTAGGCTTATTAATATTATTAGATTACAAAATATTTTGAATTGACTTGACAGCTCTTTGTATTTTTTTATTCGAGTCATTTTAATAAAACATTTTTTCTTTGTAATGTAATAAAGAAAAACTATATATTTTCTTTAAAGTGCGTTTCAATGTGTCTAAAACGAAATTATTAACGTTTTGATAAACTACATTTTTAAAATTTGTACTGGCGTTGCAAATCGGGGAAAACTCAGTATTTGTAAATATTATCAGTTTTCACTTAGTAATTTTATTGTTCCTTCGTTAGAATATTATAATAATATAATTTTATTAAACTTAAATTTAAATGTATACTGTAAATAGCCAACACTATTAATATAACAACCGGGCACATTAGTTTACGCGCATTTCTGGATTTGATTGTGTTAATACTATTTTGAAAACCTAAAAATTTAACGTCAATATACGGGCGTTGTCTATCTAATAATAATTAAATTATGGTTTAATGTACTTAAATATATTATGTTTTAATATTTTATGAAAACATGTAACTAATTACAATTATAAAAACCGATTGAAATGTTTAAACTATATGTTTTTATGCACTGTAGAGGCGGAAAGTTTTGTTTATGAAAGCTACAAAACTATTGTTTTTGACTGTTAACGGCAGCTATTAACTACCATCTATTGACTTATAAATATTTTTACAGTTGTAAATAATAATGATGCCTCGGTTCAAAACTGCAACAACATTTTCAAATACCAGTAATGTATGTTCATGAACGTAATCTAATATATCTATATTTACTGTTTATTTAAATTTAGTACCACACGTTTGTATATTTATGTAAACCATTTTTTTTCAAATCACTATACTTGAAAAAAGGTTGTTTGGGTTATTGCAGTTTTGAACCGGGGGAGTCGAGTTATAATACAATTAGTTTCACGAAAAGAATCATTGACCAAAACAATTAATAAATTCCCCATGATTTCATGTTATGTATTTATTTTTTATTGTTATTGTATAGAGCTCGATTGAATTTTGAAACTTAATAAAATTTGGTTTCGGGTATTGGGATTCTTAGGGATGCCTCGGATTTAGAGCCACTTAGTCCATATTTTTTTGTAATCAAAGCGACTTATCTCGACCAACCGGGACATTTTAATGGGTCTGGACAAGTGCTACTGACCTGGTCTTCTAGTCCTCCCTGTCCCAGGTCGCCTTTCAAGCCTCCTCCTCCGCCGCCGTTACCCGACACGTCATGGTGATATTTGTACGGTGCACTGTCGTGGTCAATGCCGTAGCTCGTGCCACCGCTGCTGTGTTCGTATTCTTGCTCTTTGCTATAGTCATAATCTTGGCCGTCCACGAAATCCGCGATATCGTCCATGTCGCCCATTTCGAACTTAAATCCCAAATCGTCGTCGTGCATTTGCGCGAACGGCTTACCGTAACCTCTACTGCCGTACCCGTCTTTGCCGGGAGCGTACCGGTCTTCTTGGCCCACGACCGGCATGTAGTCTGGCGCCCCGTGAAACCCATTCTCTCTTTTGAAATCTGAAAAATCAGAAAAAGCAGTTATCAACCGTATTGTATGTGCAATGTACAAGTTGTCCCCAGTAAAATATTATTATTTATTGGATGGATTTTGGACTGCGCACGACAACCATACTTCAATTATCCATATTCTCTACACGAATATACATATACATCTGTGTCTTAACTTAAAACTAACCGATTAATAATAATTCAACAAAAAATCTAGTTCAGCGTGGCCGGGACACAGTGGAGACGGAGCATATTGGTTCGGAGGAGATCACAGGTCTACAAGAATTGAAAATGATAAAATCGTTGATCAAATAAACGTTTCGATGCGAATCTGTAGACGGTAGAAGTACAAGTATCGATTAAAAACATTGAAAATAGTGTGCTTAAATTTTTATTCTTAGTATTTCTTCGGTGGATACGACTGGAGTTGAACGTTTGTTCATAATAGCCGGTTGCTGCTGTTTCCCATTTAATGTAATAATTAACAACACAATGAAAATATAATATTTTAGATAAATACCAGTTGGCTGTTGCTAATAGAATTATAATAATACTACGATCAAAGTGTTACTTGCCACTTTCTTAGGAGGTATTTTAATTGAAAAAAAAAAAGCTTGACAACGGATTATTGAGAAAATTGCATATACGTTATAGCCTCACTCTAGATTCACTTCCAGTACAAATTTTATTCGAATAAAAGTAATAATTATACTCATAAATAACGTTATTTCAATTTCGGCGACCGATTCTATGATGCGAGATTTCCGCCGTCAACAGAGAATACCCTCGTCATGGTTTACCGTCAGCCCGTTCATAAAAAACAAAGACGGGTATACACCAGTGTCGACGACGGAAATCCCGCATAAAACCGGTCGCCGTTGTTGTGTATAGCACCGTTTATTTGTAAATTTAAAAATTTTTAAACGGTATGTGGTAAACTTTTTTTTCGGCTACATATTTTGGTATTGCTCGTGTGTTGTACTCGCCATACGATTCGAGACGGTTTCGTCAAATTTATACGGCTCTCACGGTGTTGCGGGCGGTTCACTGTGACCGAAATGTAATGTATACACATATACACTTTTTATAAGTGTATAATATATTATACAGTAGGTGGATACATATAATTGAGGAAAATCGCTAAACGCACTTTGCGACACACTGCGAACGACCGCTAATAGCTCGGATAGTGCCACTTATCCGGCCGGTACTGCGTGTACGCGTGGAATAATAACATAATGATTTTTACTCCGGATTAACAATACAATAATTTGCTTACTACACTAACATATAAACACACATAATATATATTACACATGTGTTATATTATTATTACCGACCACCACCCGGTGTACAAATAGCACAGCCTGTCAGGTCGTAATGATAACGACAACAGTGTTATACCTATTGTTTGACGAGGGCTGTGATAGATTTTGTAAAATTGTGACTGAAATTCGTTTAGATTTAGCCAATACGGCCTGTATAGAAACCGGCAAGAATGTCTTATAACGTACATGCCTTCAAGTTTCGATAATTATATGGTTGCCATATTATAACATTGTTTATATTATACCTACGCATTATTATTGTTAATATGTCGCGGCAGGGTGATAATAACGCCAGTGAACAAACCGCAGGGTTGAATGTTGTACAAAGTCTTCAGGGGATAAATAACGATGGGTTGTAATTTTGCTGTTAACCGTTCATTCACCCGCGAAGCCACTCTGTGGCAAGTTTAAAGTAAGCTATTTCGGCGGAAAGGTTTATTGATGACTTCAAAACAAAAACCCGGTGTACCTGTCTACATCAGCCACGTTGTTGTTATTCGCAACAAAACATACCGGTTATGTAGATTCGCCAAATGACCTTTTATTTGTAATAGGATTGCGCCAATAATTGCATTATTAATTATAAAAAGTAATTTTATTTGGGGAAGCTGAGCAACGAAACAAATAGTAGTAAATTAAGGAAAAATAAAGAACCAATAGCAGACACTACAGGTATGGTACGTTTCGTTCGCATCAACGATAATCGATTCGGGTCACCCGTGCTGCGAAACCACCCTAAAACACCGTCTGGTTTCCCGTGGACCCAAGGCCCAGGTGTTAGGTGAACCGAGACATATTTTCAAGTTCAACCGGTGATAACAATAATTCGCGACAAATAATTGATCCTCTTCATATTGTAATAAAAATTGCTAACGACATGGATGTACAACAAAACACTAATAATCAAGCGTGAAACGATGTCGCCCGTTTCTTGTACATTGAACCGATTTCAAATTTTTTACATAATACTATGTGATATAACGTACCAAATGCTTATTTAAATGTGCCGAGTACAAAAGTTCAACATTTCGGAAATGTAAAAAACTTTATTTCAATATTTTACACTTTTTTTAATTAATCTATAAATAAGTATCTACTTTTTCCGACGTTGAATACAAAATTAAATTCAAGGGAAAAATTGTGTTATTAACTTGCAGTTTACAGTGTGTTTGTTTAACCATAAAATATATGTAACAAAAAAACAATCAAGAAAAGTCAATAGTATGAATGATAAAAACTTCTAATTATGACAACTATGACAAATCAATAATGAAGCGAAATTTAAGTTACCGTACAACTAATTCCGTCTTGCCAGTAAAGAATGTGTTTATTAAAAAGTTTAAAAATAAAACCAAAATACGTGATTAAACGTATCCTCTTAATACGTCCGGATAAGCCAATGATTTTTTTACTGTTCACAAGAATTACCAACCGATTCAGATAGTTGTACTGAATTGATAATGAATTTATTTCAATAAAATATATTTCTTTAGCAATTTGCCAGCCAAGATCAATAAAAAAGGGGAAAAAACGACAGAAATTAAGTTATCTCATTCCTATCGTTGTCTGGTATTTTGCGAGTCACGCAAATAATAAAATCATTTGTTTGCGCTATTCAAATGAATCTTGATTTGACAACGGCAGTCTTTTTTTTTTCAAACTAAAAACATCTATAAAAAGTGGAAAGTTTACATATTTATTTCCCGTCTGTCTGCAAAAAAAAGTACGGTCAGAATTTTTAATAAATTAAACTTGCATAAATTGAACTAAAAACAAAAAAAGTAAAATAACAGTAACGGTTGCCTTATGAAAAATACCGATCATGATTTCAATTTAAATTGTTTTAGTTTTCGATATACTTCAAACGCGTGGAATGAATTTAAGTTTGGTTCGGTTGTTTTAAGTTTTTAAAGATTTGCGAAGTCATATATTAGATTACAAGTATCTAATAAATTATGGTCACTATAGCTCAGTCTCATTTGGATTTTATGCAATACACAATGTCTTTTGTCTGTTGAAATAAAAATGTGTTCGACACATTGTGAAACATCTGTTAAATTTTATCTAGTCGAATGATTTAGAGATTTGTACTGATTGTACATAGAATGAGTCATTCTGGATCATAGTGTATAATATAGGAAATGGATAGTATACAGTTGTTATACAAATTTCTTATTGTCCCTTGTACTAATTGGCTATAGTTTTGCAAAAAAAAAAATCAAATCAATGATAAAATTGGTAAACATATAATAATAATAGTAACATTGCGGATGTCGACACTTCTAAGTTTTTAATTATCTCATTGAGAACATCATTACAATAGCAATTACAGTGTTCCATTGCAAATCGCACTAAACTATTACAAAATAATACTTATATTAATAATATTTGGAAAGTGTTAATTCAACACTGTCATGTCTTTAAATTTGGTATGCAAATGTCTTTTTTTTTCCCTTTTTAAGGAAATTTAAGTCATATATTTTGTGGTTATTAATATTACAATCGAACGATTGAATCGTCAATCCTTACAAATAAAATATAGTAGATGCAATTTTACTACTAATAAATGCACCTAACCTTGATAATTCAAGAAGACAAAATTGCACAAACCAAATCATTTCGGTTATGGTATATTGATTTTAATTAAAAAAAAAAGAAGGAAGTATTATGTAAATGATTTACAGTAGCGCAATAGATATATACATTAATAATAATATGATATTTTTGCGATAATTAAACTATTTAATTTAATTCTTTGTCGGTCATAATGCTCTTAAGACTCAAAAACATCAAACGAATGCAATGTTTTTTTTTTTCGTCAACTCATACTCACTTTCTAACATGTCGTTGAACTTTTGATCGTTGCCTTCGCCCAGTTTAATGAAAACCGGAGGATTTTGACCGTCCGTTCTGTATATGTATCCCGAACCTACCGCCGCTTCTGCCTCTCTCCGGTGTCGCACGTGTTCATCCAAGTTGAATCCTTTACTTCTGCCACACATTGCCACCGCAACCGTTGCCGCGAACGTCATGGCGGACACGACCGCCGATCGGTTCATCGTTGCCATTGTGATTGTATTTGAAAAAACGACAACACGAATTAGCTTATAATATAACACGGCGATTTAAGTAATATCGGACAGAGTCACTGTTGTTGCGAGAATGTAAGCATATAAAAAAAAAATAAAGAAGAAAAATCGATAAAGATGATTTTTCACGATCCACGAATCAACCCCGTGTGTTTGATCGACGCGCTGGACTGGAGTATATAAAGCGGCCCGCCCACTCCTTGGCGTGGTAGCGGCCACCAGGTGGGGGATCGCACCGAAGGATCCTTGAAATTTCCGGGCTGATCGATTCGAAATGTTTTTATGGATGTGTTTTTGAACAGGAAAACAAATCTAAATCCCCACCCCCCTCCCTACATCCCCGTTTGAACGTCGAACAATAATCATTATGGATATAGCGCATTGTGTGTGTGTGTGTGTTTAAAATAATGTTATTAAAAACACTATTAACACAGTGCGTGTCTTTCGCAACCAGATGATTCCAATAATAATAATATTATAGTCTGCAACCTTGAATTCGCGACGGTCTAGATTTTCCGAATAATGTTACCTCATGCAGCGAGTACAGTAAACTCTAGATGACGTTTGTGGACGCGACTGTTGACACAAAAATAATGTAATACCTACGGCGTTGGCTGTGTAAAAGTCTTCTTCTAGTTTACTCACTTGCCACCATTCCGCAACTGTTTCCATAAACGTGACTATATATAGGTTACAAACTTTGACGATAAATTTGAAACTCTGCGTTTGATATCAAATTTAAAAAACCATAACGGCGATACTTTTTAACACCACTAATCCATGATCATCATAGATCATTGCGGTTTAAGGTTTCACCCATAAGCCCCCCCAACCGTCAGTTTATTTTGTCTCGGCAATAGTAAACCACTATAGATAAATACCTATTATTTCTTCACACTGTTTACTAAACAAAGTGGTGAGATATTCTTTTATACCTAACCGTAAGCTTTAGTGCTTCGGTTGATTTTACAATTATTGGAATGACATTTTTGCCAAGACGAAGTCAGCGCCCAAGGCCAAGAAATCCACGGCGGTATACCCGACACCACCGTCATGATAATTGCCGCTGAAGAAGACATAAGCGACCGTGGCGTAGCGTACCGACGCCTCTTTTCAAATTGGTTGCCAAGGCCAGTAAGAAGAAGACAAAACCTGCTCAAAAAAATATGGCCGACGCCAAAAAATAGTACCTGAAGCGGCTTGGAAAAAGAAGAGCACAACGTCGAAGGAATGTGGCTTTGTTGCCAAGAAGGTGATGAAGAGACGTTGCGTCGGCGTCTAAACAAAATCCAAGAAGTCTCTTGCCAAACCCCAGTCAATTGACCACCATCAATCACTCGCCAAAGAGTTAATAACATGTTTGTTCGATTTTAAAAACATTATAATAGCCCCGGTCCGTTTTTTTATCGAAAACATACCTTGCGGAAAAAGTTTCAGTTTACTTAAAGCCCAACGGCTAAAATTATTAACATGGAACATGCTTTAGCTTGCTGACTCCTGAATGGTAATTATTTCTGATCTATAATCCCCTTGTGATTTATGACGATAGTATAGTCTTAATTATACGTTCTGGCCAAAACGTTTGCATGACGACGACGACTCGTTATATTGTACGTTAAAAGTAGATGTGCTACTTTCGTGTCTGTTATTTTGTGTCGTTTTCAAACTGAGAGGCCATGGCTAAGCATCTGCTTTACATAGAGAATCTATAATAAGATTTTATTAAGATTTTGATTGAAAATATTTTGTTCTTATATGAGTTTTGACTAATTATTTCCTAATGACAAGTAAAAAATTTATCAAATCGATAACTTTTAATTTATAAATCGTAGCTACTTAATTCATTTTGTACCATCGTATTTAATGCAATCATGAATGTATTATTTTTACCCAATATCATTTTTTATCATCTGTAAAATATTATTATGGACTTATAAATGTCTTCGAACAACACAATAACTAAAATAGTTGGTGTAATATGTACGTTTATTTACGGAAGTTTGAATTATATGCTTAATTTTGTTTTTATTGACTGAAAATGTATTTGATCTGTTGACGCTGCAACAGACACTATTTGCCGTTCGACAGCATGAGTCACATTCACAAGTGCGAGTATTATAATTTTACAGCATTTCATTAGACCAGACTAGAAGATGGTTTTTTTGTTTTACCGTTGTTTTTCAAACTTTTTTTTATACCTATTCAAACTAAAAACCGTTTTACAAAAACACCCTTTGAATTAAATAGACGTGGAGCTCATTTCGATTTTCAAACGCACAATATCAACACATACCCAAACGTATTTTATTTTGAGTGTAAATTCATTTTAGTCAGGCGTGACCGTGATAAAATTCAGCCAAACCGTGCATGACATGGATATACGGCATCTTGTCGAAATCGTTAATCAGTCCACAAGTGTTGGACATAATAATATCACAGCACAGATCCGTTCATTTTATAATAATATTATGTTTTGTCCATTTTCGTATTAGTTCGAAACACTTTTGTGCTGTACCGCGTTGTACATGTTTTCCTATAGCGCACCCATTATTATTTATTAACCAATGCCAACGACGGATTAACAAATATAAGTGCAATAATATATAATAACAACGTTACACGTTAGTCAATACAATATAGATATACAAAGTATTATATCTATTTATATGTATACACATACAAATTATTATGTATACACATTTTTTTTATACAGAAAACGTCAATTGGCATTATGCGTTTCTAATACATTAATTGTATCTAGCGTGGTACCTAGTTATCTAGATATTGAATTTGCTACTTTTTTTTCAGAAAATCAATGAAAAAGATACAAAATATGAATGAGTTATAAAATGTATATAACTTGGCATTTTCTAACAACTGTAACCTATAGCTTAGTCGAAAAGGGACTACTACGCTGAGCAACGCGTTTCAAGGAAGCAGTTAAATACATTAACGCAAAATACTGTTAATTTCAAAGTGTAATAATTTAAATTTCATCGTCATGAGTAATCTAATGACGGGAAAACTGAAAATAATAATAAGACGCCCGTGTTTCTAACGTAGGGAAAAGGCATGCTACCGATTTTATTTTTGTATGGACCACAAACTATAACGTTGTGTGGAAAATTAGAATTGCAATATATTTTTATCAATCATAATAATTTTAATTCAAATATAGACGGCGGGCGTGTTGATCGTTTTTTTCGCCAAGGCTTTTTAAGATAAAAATGATTTTGGAAGGGCGGACTAACAATTTAAATATAAATGAGATATTCATGAAAATTTGTGTCGTGCAGTGCTCTAATAACAACAATAATAAGGAAAAATAATTATATTTTTTACATCAATATAAAGAATAAACTAATCTCAGATACGTAAAAGAACGAACAACACGTAAAGCGTGCATAATGAGACGCCTTAAAATATAAATTTAAACATATGAACTAGGTTAATATGGTTGGTTGCTCATGAGAGTTTTTTTTAAATTTATTTAAACCTTGAACTAACAGAAATGTTTTTTTTACTTTTGCTAAATTATAATAATAATAATAATAATACCAAAGAAAATAATTCCAATAAAGTCTGTGTTAATATATAAAAAAAACTTTTGCTATTAACTTTATTTTGTATTTCTATTATTTTAATTATCACGAATCATTAAGTATGGGGAGTTTTTGAATGTCTTAAGTATCAAGATATACATTATGGACAACCCATAGTGAAGTCGTCGAGAAACATCATCTCATGGTGGCACTGCGTTGAGCATTCAAGGCCTCTTAGTTACAACAAATTTAGTTTAGATACAAAAGTTTTTTTTTGATTTATGAAATTAATAGGAATTAGGACTAGGTGGTTATAGCATAAAAATTCTCCTCAAAATTTGGAATTTAAAAACTCAATTTTGGTAAAAAATTATATTAACAATTACTGTTATTTATTGTTCATCAATATTATATTGTATTCTGCGACAATTTAAAATTAAATTTAGGGAAAAGAGGCCAGGGTAAAATGTTTTTATCTCACTGCATGATTGTAATACACATTTTGTTCAGGCCACGACGGTCTGGGCCAATAACAACAAACTTTACCAGAAACACAAATTATATCTTCTATTCCCCAACTATATGTTAGGCTATGTTTAATATACCCATTTACATACTTATTTGTTTAATGTATAAAAAGAACTGTTAAAATTGCATATTTAATATTATATTTATTTTCCTGGTTTATTTTTTAGTTGATTTTATTCAAGAACGAAATCATTATTCATCATTGGAGGCATTCATTTTACATACCATAAAACCATTCTGAATATTCATAAAACAAAGTTGTTGTATTCTTTTGTTACGCGAACACAGTATTGTTTTTTGTTTGTATAGATTATGCAGGTGAACACCTGTTTTAACATCAGTTTCTCACTGTCATTGTGGACTTATTGTAGACTGTTTTCTTAGGCAGTGCAATCGCACTGTTTAGTTAGAGCAGACAAATGGACAGAGTATAATACTTTTAACTGATAATCTATATAAAAAATAATAACAGTTTTTACCTAAAACTATAGCTAAATAAATATGTAATACAAAGCTTTGAAAATTAACTATAGTCTATACGTAGTATGTTTTAAAACGAAGTTGACGCCGTTTTACATTTGAATACTAATAACAAATGAGCCCTAAAATTATACACATAAGCCTTTTTCATAACCTTGTTTGGCTCTCTGAACTTAAATTATTATAAATGTATGCGCCAGAATAATTTATATACTAATTATTTTTCTGTAGTCTTTAAGTAGACAATGGTATAAATTGTATTCGCAAAAAGACTTTTAAGTATTTTATTCTTATTATTTAAATGATTTGATATTACTACTGTATGTTGTAAGTGTAAGACAACAATTCTTATATACACAATACATGTCAGTATGTACAATTATGAAACTAAACATTTAAACGATCAATTGTATGCATAATATATCTAATTTTTTTATCCGGACTTATAATTTAAACAATATGAATTTTGATAAAACTTAAATTTTTGTTTTTCTTACATTCAGTAGTAACGATAATCAAACTGAACAAATGAACGATTAATTTGTGGAATCAATTGTGCATAATACACATCTATGTAATCTTCAAATA